ACATGAGGAACTGTATTTAAAGGGCCAGAAGGTTGAGAACCACTGCAATAGGGGATGAGGCTAGAGTAGTAAGAGCAGGCCCAGGTCCCACGGGCCTTATAAGCAATTTTAAAAAAATGCAATCAGGGAGGGTCTGAATAGAGGGTGATAGAGAGATTTGCATTTCAGAAAGATCACTCCATCACATGGCAGGGAGCAAGACTGGAGGCAGAGAGACTAGTTGGGAACTTGTTTAGTAATGTAGGTGATAAACTATGATAGTGGTCTGTACTTAGTTCTGAGAATGAACAACTAATTCCAAAACATGATTCGGCTACTTTTCCAATCTATGTTAGAAGCCACAGGACAGACATGGGTTAGACATGGAATGTGAGGAGAAGGTGGCAATTTCTCTTCTGTATCCCTGGGAGATTGGTGATGACATCCCCTGGAATGGGAAGCACCTGAGGATAATCAGGCTCTGAGAGAAGCCAATGATGAATTCCTCTGGGGCAGGTAGGTTTCAGGTGAGGCGTGGATAGGATCTGAGCTGGAGATAAGAGGTCTAGGGATCATTGGCATACACGTGGCATCGAAACTACAAAAGTGGCGATGGAAAGAAACCACAAAAGTGGAAAAACTATAAAGTGAAAAGGGAAAGAATTGTGCAGAATACCAAAATTTAAGGGTGAACCAGAGAAAGGGAAGCTGAAAAGGAAGGAGGGTGAGAAGAAAGAGAAGAAATAGCAGCATCACAAAGCCAAGGGCAAGAAGAATGTATGCAACATTTCCCGGTGCCACCTAGACAGGTAAGGTAAAGAAGTTTCCATTAGATTTACCACCGATGAGGTTGTGATGATCTTGGCAAATGCCAATTCAGCGGGGTGGTGAGGACAGAAGACAGAGTGCAGCAGGTTGAGAAGCAAGTGTAACGTGAGAGGAGAAAGTGGAAGCTTTGAGAGGAGAAAGCCATATCCCTCTCCTTAGTAAGTGGGGAAATTCAATCAAGCAGCGCAAAATTTGGCTTATAAGGTTCCACCTCCTTTTATCCTCTTTGGGAGAGAAGTCTTGGCATGTGGACTATAAGATCAAACAGGAAAAAGGAAGGTAGAATACACCTTTGAGGCTGAGTGATTCTTATTAATTTGGCTTTGTATTTACTTAAAGGGATCATGTTTTATTTCTAAAGAACTGAATCTTCTTTACAGACTAGCAAGTTATTTGAGGAAACCAAAAAGAATAATGCAGCTTCCATATTTCTCAAAAGAAGATAAGTAAAAACAAGTTTCATTGAGTTATTTGCCTACAAAGCTTTCTTAGTATAGTCACCAACCACGTGGAGTGATTGGTATTAACACATGGGAAGAAGTTGAAAGTTTGGAAATGCTGTTTCCTAGTCTAAAGTTTAGAAGTGCTATTTCCTTAGTTCTAGCAGTGCATTCCAGGGCCAGTTTGTCAACTTAGAAAGACCCTGAGATTTAGTTAGTGTCAGAGAATTTGGTTCAAGTTCTGGGTTTTTGGCTCACATGATTTTATAAGTTTAGATCAGAGAACTTTAACATGTTTAATTTTCAGGGTCCTAGTCTCTAAAATGGCATACAGTTTTAGTCAATGTAGCCATTTATTCTGGGCAATGCCAACTAAGGAGTGGTTTATCTGGTCTGGAATATCCCTGAACCTTGTTTTTTATTTTTTTATTTCAATTCTCAGTGGGGATAATAAATCTTACCACAATGCATTGCTTTGAGAACTGAATTCTATAATAGTACTTCCATGAAGTGTAAAAATTAAAATTATTTTACATATTAAAAGATGCAAAGAAAGAAAATGTGACCTTATTATGAGCATCACCAGGGTTGATTGTAATGAATCAGCTACTTAGTACTCACAGTGTGTTGACTTCCAGAAAATCCATTGCACCCTCCAAGGATCTCAGTTATTCTTTGCTTTGGCTTCTTTTGTCAATGGTGTGAGCTATATATTTAAAGGTATTTTTGACACTCGGCTCTCACTGTCCACACAGCACTTGAAACCATAAATCACTGTTTTTACTGCTGGTTTTGTTAATGTTGTAATTGGAAAGGCAATACTAGTGCATATGAGAAGGTGAGTGCTAGGTGATGTCTAAGTGAAAGGTTGCAGTAAGCAACTAGGGGTTAAAAAGATCATCAATAGATCCAAAAAGTAAGAAAGACACATGAGTGTACTAATAGCGAAATGCTTAATGTGGAAGCTATTTTCTAAGGAAATGATGGTAGCTATCATATGTTGCTCTCATTATTAAAATAGAACCTATCAGCACAAGGGATATATTGTCTATTTATTAACTTGCACTTCCAAATTTAAAGTAATCAGCTTTAGGCTACAATGAAAAAAGAGATCCTTACATAATTCAGCTAACCTTTCTGATTTTCGGTTTTATTAATGGGTGAAAATAAGAGCTTTTTTTCACTCAGAGTCTAGACAGGGAATTCAACACAGATGTCTTGTTTGGTGTTGTTCCAGCTTTATTGAGATACTAGAGGCCCGGTGCAAGAATTCATGCACCAGTAGGGTCTCTCGGCCTGGCCAAAAACAGCTCTCTGACATCCCCTGAGGGGTCCCAGATTGCAAGATGGTGCAGGCTAGGCCGAGGGACCAAACCAGTGCATGATCAGGGCTGGGGAGGGACATGGGAGGTTGGCCAGTTGCAGAGGGACTGTGGGAGGGCTCTAGGGCATGTACGGCCCGTCTTGCTCAGTCCCGATCAGCTGGACCCCAACAGCAAGCTAACCTACCAGACAGAGCGTCTGCCCCCTGGTGGTCAGTGCACATCATAGCGACTGGTCAACCAATCAACTGTCTGTCCCCTGCTGGTCACTGCACGTCATAGCGAGTGGTTGAGTGGCCTTAGCATATCATTAGCATATTATGCTTTGATTGGTTGAATGGCCAACAGGACAGTTAGCATATTAGGCTTTTATTATATAGGATAATTGACACATAACTGTAATTTAAATTGTCTCAGTAATGATTTGATACACTTACATACTGAAAAATGATTACCACCATAGCTAATACCTCCATCTTATCACATAATTACCATTTCTTTCTTCAACACAGATGTTTTTAATGAATGAGCAGTAACAAAGCAATATTTATAGAGGAAGGATCAGGGTTAAAGGAACAAAATAGCTACTAGTGGCCATGGAAAGCCTTTTAATTGCTAGGCCTGCTGGACTAAAGGAAGAAATAACACCAGGATCAAAATGGAGCTATCTCCTCCCAGAGATGGAGTGTGAAAGTAAGAAGGGAGTGGGCAGGAAAAGCTGTGACCTCTACTTCTTCCCACCCTCTGTTTTTCCTGTGCCTCTCTTTGGATCAATCCATCCAGAAAGCACAAGACAAGGGAGCCCAGGTGGTGCAGGGCAGAGGGTCAGCTCCAGGCCAGGGGATGGGGCAGAGAAGGGTAGAGAGGGCACTAGTCCAGTGGCATAGTAAACAGAGAAGAGCCAGAGTAGATTTACTAAATGATTTCCAGGGTTTCTTTCAGCATACTTTTTTCATTAAAAAATACACTGCCTCCTAATTATGCTCTTATTAAGACAGAAAAGGATAATTTTGAGGTTGGCTTAAACATAAGTGTGCACACAATTCATAATCTTTACAAGATACTGAATATAGTTGGCAGATACACCACATATTTAAAAACACACACACATATTTTATTGATTTTTTACAGAGAGGAAGGGAGAGGGATAGAAAGCCAGAAACATCGATGAGAAAGAAATATCGATCAGTTGCCTCCTGCACACCCCCTACTGGGGATGTGCTCACAACCAAGGTACATGTCCTTGACTGGAACCAAACCCGGGACCCTTCAGTCTGCAGGCTGATGCTCTATCCACCGAGCCAAACCGGTTAGGGCATATTTTTTCATCTAAATAATATGTCAATATACTACAGTCATATATATAATATTATCTATATATATATAAAAGCCAAAGTGACTGTTACGTCCAGTCAACCGAACAACCAGTTGACCAAATGACCAGTCAACCAGTTGCTATGACACTCATTGACTACCAGGAGGCAGATGCTCAATCCAGGAGCTGCCCCCTGGTGGTCAGTGCACTCCCACAGCCAACCTCCCATGGCTGGCCAACCTCCTGCGGTCCCTCCTCCTGGCTTGCTGGCCCCAATTGGCCCCGATTGCCAGCCAGTCCAAGGGACCCCACCCATGCACAAATTTGTGCACCAGGCCTCTATACATATATCCTAAAATTTTCTGAAGTGTGAGTAAATATTTTTGCTGGCTATCATTTAGCTCAAATTTTGGTTTTGCAGAATTCCAGGTACTGTTGTTTTGTTCTATTGGAACTTTCTGGTACTAATTAGGCTGCTGATATGGCTTTAAATTCTTTCATGTTATCAGATAAGGTCATGTGTAAACAGGTTTATGGATCAATTAATCTATTGTTAAAGGCAAAGCAAATGTTGATATTCAAAAGGACACTTTCAAGTTCCCCACAAAAATTCTATGACTTACTAGTAGACTACCAAATTATGGTCCCTGGGAACTTGTTGGCCCTACCTAATCTTCCTGAATCAAAAACTCTGAGGGGTGGCCATAGCTGGTTTGGCTCAGTTGATAGAGTGTTGGCCTGCTCTCTATCCACTGAGTCCCAGGTTTGATTCCAGTCAAGGGCACATGCCCAGGTTGTGGGCTTGATCCCAAGTGGGGGGCTTGCAGGAGGAGGCCAATCAATGATTTCATCTCATTATTGATATTTCTATCTCTCCCTCTCCCTTCCTCTCTGAAATCAATAAAAACATATTTAAAAATAAAAAAAACAACAACTCTGCAGGGTGGAGCCCAGCAATCTGTATGCTAACAAGCCCTCTGGGTGAGTTTGATGATAAAGTTGAAGAATACAAAACTCAACATTTTTTTTAACTTCCATGTTGAAATAAATCAGTTGTTTCATTATCTTGATTTTCAATATTGTAACATTGTTCTTACTTTTTGTTTCATTTTAAAGTCAAATACCTCAATTTTAGATATTTTGACTCAACGTCCATCAGTCCAAATGGAGATTATTAATAAGCACAATGACCTTAGAAGGATGGCAAGTCCCAGTGCCAGCAACATGCTTAAAATGGTAAGTCCTGTCTGATTGATAGATTGTTATCAATTAGCATCTAACCATGTAACAATGAATATTAAACTATGATCTATCTATGTAAAATACTCTAATCTCTTTATTTCCCTAGAAAAGTTATCACATTGGTTGGTAGTTAAATGTAACACTGCATTTGAACTGGAAAACATTGACTCTCTCAATAAAGGATGAAAGTATAATTAATAGGCGGTGAAAGAAGCCTTGTAAATTATATTACTTGAGTAATTAGATGCTAAACAACTCGTAAAAACTTAAACTATATAATAAAATATGGTGTATAGGTCTAAAAGTTATATTCTTTCTGTTATTGGTGCGGTACCCTCTGTGTTCCCACCTGCTACTGGTGGAAGTGGAATTCTTATGATGTCATGAGAAAAGGAATTTTCTGAGACTCGTACAGGAAAACGAGTGCTATTTACTTGCATGGAATTAAACCCCTGGATTTCCAAGGTCTCATTTTCCTTCATCTCACCATGGAAAAAGTCCAGCCTTATCTTCATCAGAGCTAGAATTTAAGCCACTGCCTAGCACTTCTGCCCCTTATTAAAGCACAGTCCAGTGCAGTCCAGCATCTGGCTAGGTCAGCTTGTGTTCCCAGCTGCAGTCCATTGCCTGTAGGGTCCCTATGGGCATGGGCCATGAAGCTGATAAACCTACATGGCTTTTGGGGTGCACAGGTGAGTGATGGTCAAGGAGCAAGAGAAAGCAAGGGAGCAAGAGCACAAGAGCAAACAAGCAAGAGGAACAAGAAAGAGAGAATTCTTTGTCTGGGGATTATAACCAGGAGCTTAACCAATCAACCCTTCAGGACTTCACTTGTTTGCAGTGTCTCTGCCTTGTTAGCCAATTACCTTTTCCCCAAGTTAGTACCTTCCCTACATCACCCCAACTTCACTGCACATGTGCCCAGCTTCCTTCCCCCAGTGATTTGCAGAGAATGGCTCCCTGGGGAGTGCAAAGTTGCAGCTTCCTGGTTAAGCTGCCCAGTTGACCATGCCTATAATGTCTGACCTTCCCTTTGCTTTCTTCCTACTATTAATATTAATAAACGTGTTAAGAGGCTAACACTGCTCTTCAGCTATGGTCAGGTCATATGTTATAGAATGTGTATGGGTTTAGGCCAGTGATGGCGAACCTATGACATGCGTGTCAGAGGTGACACGCGAACTCATTTTTTTGGTTGATTTTTCGTTGTTAAATGGCATTTAAATATATAAAATAAATATCAAAAATATAAGTCCTCATTTTACTATGGTTGCAAAGATCAAAAAATTTCTATATGTGACACAGCACCAGAGTTAAGGTTTTTCAAAATGCTGAAATGCCAAGCTCAAAAGGTTCCCCATCACTGGTTTAGGCAATACATTATGAAAGGGAGCATACACAGAAAGTGTTGATTAGCATGGTGGGGAGCCTGGAAACTGAAAGGTGAGGCAGTCTGAGGTATTTAGACTAAATATTATCCCAGGAGAATATGATCACTGACTCTGGGCTAATTACTTAATCTGAAGGAGCCTCAGCTTTCTTGGCGATTAGTGGAAATGATCATTAAACTTTGCTAACCTTGTGAGGATCAGTATAGAAATGCTATTGTAAATGAAATGCCATTAACATCTGAGATGTTCAGTAAAAAGTAGTTACTGTTTCTCTTCCCATTCAAGTATTTAAAGTGCTATCATATGATGAATTAAATGTGTTCTGAATTTCCTCAAAGGGCTGAGCTAGAATTAACAAATCATAGGTATTTGGAAGTTATACTGTATATGCCTCAAGAGATTTTTTTTAAAAAGTCTATTTAGAAATTAGCTGTCTTATGAGGTACTGAACATATACTTCCATTGCAGACAAAATGTGTATTTTTTTAGAAGAGAGTCCTATAATAAATGAGGAATAGAATCCATTATCTTTCTGGTTCATGCCATTGCTGAGATACTATGAAAGTTGTTGCTAAATCTAGGCCAGTGATGGCGAACCTATGACACGCGTGTCAGAGGTGACACGCAAACTCATTTTTTTGGTTGATTTTTCTTTGTTAAATGGCATTTAAATATATAAAATAAATATCAAAAATAGAAATCTTTGTTTTACTACGGTTGCAAATATCAAAAAATTTCTATATGTGACACAGCACCAGATTTAAGTTAGGGTTTTTCAAAATGCTGACATGCCAAGCTCAAAAGGTTCGCCATCACTGATCTAGGCTATAGGAAGGAATTTTTCTACTGACCCGTATGTTTAGCTTTATTTCTGAGGAAGTGTGTTGTGCCCAATGTACAGGACAAATACCTCCTGACCATGATAGCTAATTGACATTGCCTTCTCAAAGGTACAGGCTGTCTGCTCTGTTCTGAACATCTCTTCATCTTAGATTGGAACTTTTTCCCCCTCTCTCTAGAAAGTAATGTATAGCAATTTTGGTTTAACTTATCTGAATGATGATAACACTCAATTCCTATTTGGATTTATTTTCCTATATCTTTCCTATTTTGCATATGAGATAAGGGTAGACATTTATTTTTCCACATACTTTGTACTTCACCCTGTTTTATTTTATTTAGTACAGCACAAACTTACTAATGCTTGTTATGGCATCTGGCAATATATTAATGTATATGAAGACTGGGGCAAAGGCAACAGACATTTTGAGAAAAACAGCACATACTTAGTTCTCATTTCTAATTAAATATCCATAGCCCCAAGCTGTGCTTATCCAACTAATTGGGTTTAAAATATTTTTTTCCCTAAAATATTTAATCTGTGACCCCATATGGTAATATGCTTCCTTATAATTAAGTGATTTAGAAAAGCAAGAAATGTATCTTTCAGTAGAACAATGGAAAAATAAGAAATACTAGAAAACAATTAATCTAATAGGCATTTGTTTTAAATGTGATCATATACATCATGATTGTGTCATGAATACATAATATTTTTATATGTTTTCAAATGTTTGTCATTTACATCAAGACATGGAATGACGTAGTTGCGAGGAATGCTGCAAGCTGGGCAACCAAGTGTACCTTGTCTCACAGCCCTTCATATGCACGACAAATCAGCTGTAAGTCACACTTTATCAATCAATAAAAAACAAAAATTAAGCCAAAATTCACTGAAGTGGTGAGCTATGGCAGCTTGGGAATGGTGATGGAGATTTTGTCTGTTGGTTTTAACGTCATGACCTATCCTCTCACACAGGAACCTTGTTTCCTTTTGCTTTCTTTCTTGTATTCCTTTGTTTTCTTTTTTTAAAAACTCTTGCCCTAAAATGTCATTACTCCTGCTACTCTAAGAAAAAAGAAAATGACTCTAAGTTAGAGATCCAAGGCAAAAGCTATGGGGGAAGGAGGAGGAGACAACAAAAAAACATTGTTTTAAATTTTTTTTTTCTGAACTTCAGTTCATGTAGATACTCACCATTCTTATTTAGTCACATGCCAAGTTTATTCCTGAAATCTAAAAAAACAACAACAAAAAACCCTTCTCACTTATTACATTGTAGTCAAATTTACCAGACTATAAATTCCTAGTGAAAAGAATTATTTATTTTAATATAACTTTCCAGGGCATAAGTGTAAATTATGTTCATGAAGAATTAACTCTCTACCTTACTTTCGAGGCCCTCAGTTTGCTTTACTCTGCAAGCCCACCGTACCCAAACCTGTCTTAGACTTTTTTGCTAAAATCTGATGGGCCTCCTCATCACCACTCTTGCATTCATGGCTTTGATTTCATTTTCCCACGGGATATACCATCTTACGTCTGATCTATTTGCTGTCTGCTTCACATGTGCTCCTCTTAATTCTCTAGCTAAAGAGCGGAAGGTCAAAATCATGGCCCCTATATGCATACTATGAAGGCATAGCAGATAATAATAAATACTTGCTGTTTGTTGATTCATTTACTAGTGTTGCCAAAATGGCATCTGTGACTGTGTTAACCTACACCATCAGCTTGAAAATGAATCATTATTTAGGTATTTTTAAAAAGCTATTCATATGTGAGCGGGAGGGAGTAATTCCAATTCATAGAACTGAGCTTTGGAAATTGAAATTAGATTTCTCCAATCAGTCAGTGAAAGATTTGGAAGGTGATATTGATCACAAAAACTAAAATATAATATTCTAATAGTTTTCGATGAGAATTATTTGAAACTACTGGTTTCACTATTGTTTCATTATCTTTTCTAATTTTTAGCCACTGGTTGTGGAGAGAATTTATACATGTCCAGTAGTCCCAAATCATGGTCAGATGCAATCCAATCTCTTTACGATGAAGTTAAAGATTTCAAATATGGATATGGAGGTACTCGAGCAAATGCTGTAACTGGCCATTACACCCAGGTAAAAATGTAATGACAAAAGTTTAATGTTTTTTGTCTACTACCCTCCCAGAATTATTTTTTTCTGTGCAGTTTATTCTGGAGATGCTAAGCATACATCCTAGCTATGCAACCTATATGTGAGTGTAAAAGCTGCCCTACTTTACAAAGTATGTGCTACCCATTAATGTACATAAACATCAACCCATTATCTCTTGGGTACCCACCAACTTCATCTGCTTATTGTGATCTCAATTTACCACAATGGATTTTTTAAATGACAGCTCTGAGAATAAAGTGATGAATGACCTTAATTATATTTAAGCAACACTTTGAACAAGTCTCAAGCTATTTTCTCTAGACTATCACAGGATGAAACACTGAAGAGAAAAATAATTAAAAAATTAACTCATATATGCAAGTTATTTTTAGTCATTAAATAAGTATTTTTGTATTATATATATTGGGCCCCTAAGATTATCTACACACACACACACACACACACACACACACACACACACACACACCAAGATCAATAGTTTCTTCTTTTTTCCTGCAAAAATCAAATTGCCCTTAAGTGACTATCCCCTTATTGCCCAGCATGCCATTATCCACATATTTATGAATTTGAGTGTGATTCACTGTTATAACAAAGGTATCATGCTTATCGGATGTTAAATGAGGCCCCATACCTGGAAGAGATATTTTAAGAGAATACTCATCAAGTTTATAAATTTAAAAAATCTGAAGGCAACATTTTTCAGGTTTTAAAATTCCCTTCATTGATAACGTTTAATAAGCAATTAAGAAACAAGCCCTACAATGTGAACAGCATGAACTTAATTAAAATGATTATTTTAAACTTTTCTCTTACAGCTCGTTTGGGCCACTTCCCACCAACTTGGCTGTGCATTAGCCCACTGTCCTCACAGCAACCTTCAGTATTACTATGTTTGCCATTATTGCCCTGCGTAAGTATAGCCCAAAGGGCCACTTCGGGCATATGGTAGGCCAAATGGCCTGCACCTTGAGCTATAATCCAACTCCTTTCATCCATCTGAGGTTCTAAGGTAGCTTCATGGAGAGCTTTGAGGGTGGTTTTGAAGAAAGGAGAAAATTGGAAAGACTGGAAAGGCCAGTTTTGAAGAAAGGAGAAAATTGGAAAGACTGGAAAGGCCAAGCAGTGCATTCTAAGGGTTGAAAGAGCCATGGAGATATTGGTAGCAAAGTCCAGAAAGAATGGGCTCTGTGGTCCACAAGGTTCAAGAATAAATGTTGGCTTTGTCACTTACTAGTTGTGTGACCTTCAGTTCACCAATAACTTAGCAACTTGGAGCTCCTTTTTCCTTATCTAAAAGAGACAATAGCAATACATTTCTTGCAGTGTTTTTTTTTCTGAGAATTAGACATAATAAGCTATTTTAAGTGCTTAGCATAGCTCATGGCACATATTGGATTCTCAATTAAATAAAAATTCATCTAGTACAGAAGTAAGAAATACTCTGAGATGCCGAATCCAAAAATTCTTAGGAACCTTGCTACAAGCCTCTCTTCTGGTGGCATACCTTTGATTTATTGTGAAGACGGTGGAACCCCATCTCCTTTTTTCTGCATATATTTAAATCCTACCAATTTACCTTAAAATTGTCTTTGTAGACCTAACCTTCATAAATGTCTCCCTTTTATAACATGTGACTCTTGCTATGTATTTTACTCCCATGGCACGATCCTATATTTCTTCATGTTGTCACTGCTTCTGTCTTTCAAATATTCCATTGCCAGCGGGAACCACTATAATACCATCAGGACCCCATACAAAAGAGGGAGACCATGTCAAGACTGCCCGAATCATTGTGATAATGGGCTTTGCAGTAAGTACTATTCATTCTGCATCTTTATGTTCTGATGTCTACATGGACATGACCTTGCTGAGTATAACAGTCTCAGAATCTTCCCTGATATATGAATGACCTCATTCTGCTTCTGCCCCCCCCCACCCCCCTTTCCTACTTCAGTCTTTTTGATCTTGGCAATAAAAATAGAGCTAAAGCCCAGTTGGTGTGGCTCAGTGATTGAGCATTGACCCATGAACCAGGAGGTCATGGTTTGATCCCCAGTCAGGGCATATGCCCAGGTTGCAGGCTTGATCCCCAATGGGGGTATGCAGAAGACAGCTGATGAATGATTTTCTCTCATTATTGATGCTCCTCTCTCACCCTCTCCCTTCCTCTCTCTGAAATCAATAAAAACATATTTTTTTTTAAAAAAAGAGAGAGCTAAAAAAGGAAGTGGTACATTCAGCTGCCATTTGAGAGTGGTTACTACTAAATTAAGATAGACTTCGAGGTAGTCATGCAAAGCAAAATAACCATGCCAATGTGGAGGTGAAATTGCCCTTTAAGGCCTTCTAGCTGTCAGTTCTCATTCAGGGTGGTGAAAAGCAAAATTATTTGAAACTCACTATACAACCTCAGAGAGGCTCAGGCTTGATTTGCTGTTGCTCCTAAATAAATGCCAGGGGATAAAATAAAGGGAAACTTCATGTTGTTCTCCTCAGTATGGGCACCTCTACACACACACACACACACACAGTCACACTCACACACTAGCATACACTCACATATTCTGCCAACTACGTCACTTGCTTCCTTCCTCACAGCAGCATTTCCTGGGAAGCAGGCACTTACAAAAGAACTTTGGATTGCTTCAAGCACATGCATTAAATGTTCCTGCCAGTCTTCTAGGAATCCCCAGACACTACATACACATATAAATATACACACCAGAGCTACTGCTGGGATAGGATACTAATCATTTGTATGGCTTGGTAAATGGGGTATGAGTAGGATTTGTCTTCCATTTGCTGCCCTTGCCCCTTTGTACAATCTATTCATTTCACAAGTAGATATGGTAGCACTCATACCCACAGGGCTAAATAAGTAGCACCTGAAATATATTGTTAAAAATAAAAAAAATTATTTTATTTTGTTATTTTGTTACTATGCACCTTGTTGGAACATGATAGTGAAATTTATTTGATGTCATGAAGTTCTGGGTGTGTGAACTCTCTGTCTGCCACATCAGGTATATTTATTAAGCAGCTTAAGACTATTAACTCCCATGTGTGTGGTGAGCTTTGAATAATAGAATATATAAAGAATAAACGGGTTTCCCCTGAGATAATATAGTTTTGGATAACTAATACTTCAATCCAAGAAGCAGCATTTAATTTACTTTTTATTTCATTTTAGCCAATTCCTGCATGAAGGCGGATAAGATAACGAATTGTGACTATTTGGTCAGAAAAGTAGGGTGTAATGACAAAATCACAAGAGCAAAATGCCAGGCCACCTGTCAATGCCCTTCTTCAATAAAATAAAACACCTTTTAAGGCTGATTCTTCATCTCAAGAGCAAAGTGACTCCACTTAAAAACTACTGTAAAAATGTCATTGTCTTTTTCTAAATGATCAAATAAATTTTGAAAAAATCTTCTATTGACTATGTCCTCTTTCATCCATTCAATTTGAGGATATCTGAATAAAGAAAACCAGGTAACAAAAACAGTACATTTAGTATCTGTGAACTATAAATTAAAAATATAATGCTGAATCTAATAAATTCTTTAGTCATCATAATTGGCAACATGTGCTAAAAGCTTTTGTGCAACTTAGGAATAAATGTATTCAAAGCTTTTAAAACAAACTCTTTCCTTCACTAAGGCATTAAACAATCCATTGATGAGCGTATGCACTTGTAGCCTAGAAGAGCTCTGTTTTGGCTGGTGTTCATAGGACAAAGATGACAGGGGAAGATGCCGATACCAATGATAATTTAAAATATGAACATATCTAAGTCTGTTGGCAGAAACATGAAAGAATTTGCTAAAGTGATAATTCAAAAACACTTACCCAGTCATTAGACCTAAATTAATTCATGTATTTGGCTCCCCCAGTTGAGGGGGAGGCCATGGCTATGTCCCTAGAGCAGTGATGGCGAACCTATGACATGCGTGTCAGAGGTGACACGCGAACTCATTTTTTGGTTGATTTTTCTTTGTTAAATGGCATTCAAATATATAAAATAAATATCAAAAATATAAATCTTTGTTTTACTATGGTTGCAAATATCAAAAAATTTCTATATGTGACACGGCACCAGAGTTAAGTTAGGGTTTTTCAAAATGCTGACACGCCGAGCTCAAAAGGTTCGCCATCACTGCCCTAGAGAAAGGACCCAGCAATGCCATCATAACACATTCCATGAACTTTTTGTTAAGCCTTCACGCAAAGGAACCCGGGCTATCTATCAAGGTAACTGGCAGGAGTGGAAAAAAGATTTTTGTGGTTTATTAGATCTGGACTTAAAACTAGTGCTGATCTCCAAAGACCTCAAATACTACCATAGCACATAGATCAGAATAAATCTTAGAAAGGTCAAGATAATAAAGTCCTGGCCCAAGTGCATCTCAGAGTAGCAGCAGTAGGACTGCAGACTGATGCCATGGGTAATTCTCCAGTTCCAAAAGATGGAGTAAAAATCAGTACACTTAGCTTGGCCAATGTTGAGCATCGGCCATGAACTAAGAGGTCACACTTTCAATTCCCAGTCAGGGCATATACCCGGGTGGTTGGCTCGATCCCCAGTTGCATGCAGGAGGCAGCCAATTGGTGTTTTACTCTTATCAAGATTTCTATCTCTCTATCCAGCTCTTTTCCTCTCCCTCTAAAAAATTCAATAAAAACATATTTTTTAAAAAAATCAATACACTTAGAAAGTCTCAAATTCACTACATTGGTTTTCTGACCCCAAGATTTAGAGCTATCATGGTAGCCAGGGCCAAGTGGAAGTCCATGAAACTAGCAAGATAATAAGCCAAAAAGAAATTTAAGTGACTGGGATACTACCGAAATTTATGTTACAATCAATATAAAATTCAGTGGTCGTAATTGTGACCCATCCTTATTTACCTTGTCTATTTAGCTAGTGTAAATGCTAAAAGGCTTATGGATAATAACTGTAGACCAGCGAGCAATTCTCAGCATTTTCATCTCATGGCACACATAAACCAATTACTAAAATTCTGCAGCACACCAAAAAATATATTTTTGTCCCAATCTGACAAAAAGTAGGTATGCTTTTGGTTCATTCACATTGGATGGCTACTATTGTGTTGTTTATTGTCATTTTTTTATTTGACCATCTAAGGAGGAAGTGGTTAGTGCCTCTGACTAAATAGGTATTGCATGTTTTAAAAATTCTTACAACACACTGGTTGAAAATCGCTGTTGCAGTGGACTATTGCAGACTTAACCACACAGTGGTACCACTCAAATGGTGATTCTATATGTCAAATCTTTATTACAGAAAATCAACAGATTCCCTGGCACCCGGAATACATCTATAGAATTACAGTTGCTCTTATTCTATTACAATCAGCAAAGGTAATCACACACAGTCTCCCTCTATATAACAAGGCAAATAGTACATACTATACCTTAGTACATAGTATACCTTTGCATCTGTCTACTCTTCCAATAGTGCTTCTATTAGATTCACAAGGCATCTTGTTTAGTGCCATAGTACTGCATATTGCTGTTTTAAGAGCTGTGGCAAAAAAATAAGGTTTTGTGTATATTGTGTATATTTCAGAGACCAATATAATGAACACCCATGTGTTCACTTGCCAGCTCATGAAACAAAATATTGTGAAGTTGAAACTCACTGTAGCCACCATGACCCCTGACTCTTCCTGCCTTTGTCGTGAATTGGTTACTTCTCATGCCCATGACTTGGTTACTACATAGTTTTCCCATATATGTATCCCATATGTGTATTTAGTATTGTTTTTCATATTTTTAAATTTTATCTAAATGCTGCCAATATTGTACATACCATCTACAGCTTGTCTTTTTATCTTAAAACTAGAGGCCTGGTGCATGAAATTCGTGCATGGGTAGGGTCCCTAGGCCTGGCCAGCGATCAGGGCCGATGGGGCCTTCCAGCTGCTAACTAGGGCCTTCCTTCATTCCGCACTACCCCCAGGTGGTCAGCACACATCATAGCAAGCGATTGAACTCCCGGTCTCCCAGTCAAACTCCCAAGGGGACAATTGCATATTAGCCTTTTATATAGAGAGATTGTTTGGGATATTTATTTATTCTTATGCTATCAAGCTGTTCACACTCATTTTCACTTTTGTATAAACATTTAATTGTGTTCTCCAACACTATAGTCATCCTCTTTTTCATGTACACTTAGAAAGTCTCCAGTTTTTTACCCTGACATATAAGTTTACACTGAACATTTTTACACAAGTTCTTGTAAACATTCTCCAGCATTCTCTGGGATTAAAATTGACAGGCCAAAGTAATTTGCATCTTCCTCTTTACTGGAACTTGCCTAATTATTCTCGGAACTAGCAGAACCAGTTTACACTCCCAACAGCCAAAATAGGATTTCCAGTTTTTCCATGTCCATAAAACACGTGGCTTACTGTATTTTTTAAATTGGCAAATATGATACCATATTATGGTTTAAATTTTTATTTCTTTAACTATTAGTAAGATTGCAAATATTTTTATGTTACTTGGACTTTTGGCAATTCCTCTGCAGTGCACTGCCTGTTCTCAAAGTGTTAATATTTTCTTTTTTAGCTCACACAGAGCTGAGATTAAAAAATAGTTATATAAGGAGATTTAACCTGAGGTTCTCTTTTAGTTGATGTGAAGCTGGGTTTGAATTGAGTCAGAAGGAAAGAGCCTTGTAGGCTGATGGTATTACTTCAGGCAGAAGCCTTTGTTAATAGATAGACTGTTCTATGCAGAATAATCCAATGTCAATTTGATGGATAGTTTCCATAGAAACTCATACAGAAATTACCACATTGTTACTCCTGAACAACACCTGTTTATATGGTTTTCCTACATGCAAAATTGTTTCATCAGATTTTTTTTAGAAAAGCCTCTTTTTAAAAGAGTGATAAATAGCCATTTAACTTCCCATTTACCTTACAATTGACTTTTCCCCCAAAGCGTGTGTGTAAATAAGCAACCTCATGATTCCAACTCATAAAAATGTCCTAAATCCAGTGACAGGTCCAAAAATGCATTGCAGTTGGGTCAGGGTATCCTAGTATGAATGTATTTTTTCTAGGCATGTCCTTGAATTTGTTAAAGAGGAACAATATCACAGGCTCTAGCGTTCCTGTCAGACACAGACAGTCCTCAATAAATATCTTGAGTGAATAGTGAGATTAAAGAAGGATACAGAGGGGATACTGCATCATCAATTTCCTTAGTTGTAAACTATAGAAACCGAATTTTCTTCTTAAAGAGAAAGTGGGATTTGTTGGACGGGTACCAGGCTGCTCAGAGAATCAACCCAAGTGTCAGGAAACAAGTCTGACCAAGGCAAGCTGAGGTCACAGGTAGAGGGCACCACAGGGATCTTCCAGTTAAAAGACCTACTGTGTTTACAAGCAGCCCCCAGGTGTCAACTCTTGTGTATTTTTCATAACTGATCTCTAAATTGACTGATCCCAGGTCACAGGCTTGAACTGCCAAAGCGAGGTGGGGGGAGGGCCGGAAATAACCACCCAACTTGAGTTTCTCCACAATGGAAAGCAAGACCTTTATTTAAAAACTCCCTCGAAATAGAAAGTGTTTGAGTGTGGGTAGGCAAAAGTGACAAACAGAATAATAGTTACATTTAATGTGTCCCTACTACGTCCCAGGCTTTTTCTTTCATATGCACTGTGATTGGGATCCTCACTATGATCTCTGAAGTAAACAGTACCCACATCTTTTAGAGAGCAAAACCAACCACAGAATTTGACTTACTCAAGTTTATCAGTAAACATTGCACCTGGGACCAGAAGCCAGACAGTCTAGATTCAAGTCTGAGGTACTAAACACTGAACTGTACTATATACCCCCAGATGCTTCCCAACATCCTCTTTCCCTGCTTGTCCTAATGCCTGAAGTTTCCGAGTACAGTTTGGGTTGTAATCCTCTAATAAGAATCACTAGTGATCCTCTATTTAAAACTTCAAAACCTATGGTTCATCTACAGTATGAAACATTTTACCATCTTTAAAAATCAAGAAATAAAAGTGATATTCTAAGACATATGGTTAAACTGTAATTGAAAAATAAAAAATATTAAAGTCAAATAAATAACATATATGGTTAAGTTTTAAATGAAAGGTTATTATGAAGTTACTGATATTAAAATATAAGACATATGTAGCTATCAAAACATATTTACATATAAATATATAGAGGGACCCCAGAAAGATGAACACCAAACTATTGATATGGGAGTGGCATTGAATGGTTACAAAGTTTCAAGTTGTATGAATGATTTAAAGAAGACAAATTTGTTTATAGCTTTCATCATTTGAAAACTGAAACTAAACCTAAATATGCATACATTTGTATGTATACATATACAATTATTATATTCCTATGAAGGGGAGTACTTTTTCTAGGAATAATCCCCAAACAATTTGGCTGAAGAGCGCCAAAACCAATTAGTCAAATACAGAGAACAGCAGTTTCAGAGTCAGACAGACTTGCATTTTACTTCGGGTCCTGAACTTTTCTAAATGGTATTAGACTTTGGGAGTCATTTGGTGTCTGGTTTTCCCACTTGTAACATGACATTAAGAAATGAACCCCCCTGGCTGGGCTGTTTTAAGGGTTATAATTAGCAGGTGTAGCTATCAGGTGGCAGGGGATGTTAAGGCCACCAAACACTTACTCTAGTGCGTGGGTGCCTGAGGCTCAGCAAGCTGAGGCAGATTGATAAAATGCTATGGGGAAAGGACCAAGTTCTGGAAAGAAAAAAAATAATAAAGGTCTGTCATATTTTCTGGGAGGCCCTCGGTTCCAACCTTATCTTTGAGCAGCAGCTTGCCTGGCTTCTGGGACTTCCTTTCACTTAAGCTGTCTACTCCCTTGGGTGCAACGGCCACTGCACTAATCGGGCGGGATCTCTCTGGAACTGAGGTGCAAGTCTCTGTCCTCTGCCCTCCTCCGCTACCTCCTTCTCTTTTGTTCTTTATTTTAATCATTGCAGTGGGATAGCAGCTACTGCATACATATTTATTCTTAGTGAAGCAAGGGAAGCATGTTTGGGACATATCTTTTCTTGGAAACACGTGGAGAGTGATTTTTCCCCCCCAGTTACAATTAATATTCAATAATGTATTAGTTTTGGGTGTATAGAATGGTGGTTAGACAATTATATAATTTACAAAGTGATTCTCCCAATAATTCTAGTACCCACTTAGCCTAACACGCAGTTATTACAATATTATTGACTGCATTCCCTATGCTGTACTTCACATCCCTGTGACTATTTTGTGACTGCAAAGTTGTACTTCTTCATCACTTCACCTTCTTTACCCAGCTCCCCAACACCCCTCCCACCCAGCAACCCTCAGTTTGTTCTCTGTTTCTATGAGTCTCTTTCTATTTTGTCCATTTATTTTGTGCTTTATATTCCACATATAGGTGCAATCTTATGGTGTTCATCTCTCTCTCTGAGTTATTTCACGTAACATAATGCCCTCTAGGTACATCTATGTTGCTGAAAATAGTAAGATTTCATTATTTTTTATTGCTGAGTATATTCCATCATTTACATGTATCACTACTTCTTTTTTCAACCTATAGATGGGCACTTCGTTTGTTTCCATATCTTGGCTATTGTAAATAACACTGTAATGAACATAGAGGTGCATGTATTCCTTCAAATTAGTGTTTTGGATTTCTTTGTGTATATACAAAGAAATAGAATCATTGGATCATCAGGCAGTTCCATTTTTAAGTTTTTCAGGAATCTTGATATTGTTTTCCATAGTGGCTGCACCAATCTGCATTCCCACCAACAATGCATGAAGGTTCCCTTTGAGAGAGTGGCGGGAGTAGGTGAGTAGGTTGGAAGAGATCAACCAAAGGACTTGTATGCATATATGCATAACCTATAGACAACAGGGTGGTGGAGGCCTGGGGCAAGGGATGGGGGCAGACTATAGGGGGTCAATGGGAGAAAAATAGTGGACATATATAGTACTTTCAACAATAAAGATTTAATAAATAAAAAATAAATGGGAAAAAAAGCAGCAGTGGTCTAATTTTGATCCGTCATTGATATCAAAATAAGCAACTCCAATGCAAGTTTATAATAATAACTGTTATCCAAATGTGCATATATTCAGAAATTGAGATAAAGAATTTGTGTCATGCCCTGACCGGTTTGGCTCAGTGGATGGAGCGTCGGCCTGCAGACTGAAGGGTCCCAGGTTTGATTCCGGTCAAGGGCATGTACCTTGGTTGCGGGCACATCCCCAGTAGGAGGTGTGCAGGAGGCAGCTGGTCGACGTTTCTCTCTCGTCGATGTTTCTAACTCTCTATCCCTCTGCTTTCCTCTCTGTAAAATATCAATAAAATATATTTAAAAGAAATTGTGTCACTTACTTGAAGCCACACAGCAAGTTAAGGATCAACATAGGTTGAGAACATGGCTTACTCATTCTTGATCAGTTCACATTGACCTCACCCACTGAAAGTCTCTGAAGCTGGAGAAGAGAGCTGTCTCCCATCATCGACACTTTAGAACCGCCCTGCTCCCCAGCCTCTTCCTTTCGTGGTTAAGAACTGGCAGGAGAACTTTCACCACGCTACTGTTTACCGTCTGCCAGACCTTTGGTTCTTCCAAGCTCCGTAATTTGAGCTTGATCCTCAGCTTTGCTCAAGCCCAAGAGATCCTGATGAGAAGCCCTTGCTGACTGAAGTAATGAGAGAGTGAACAGCACTATTAACTTTATTGTTGGGATCTATATGTTTATCATTTAAATGTAATTCCTTACAGCATGTTTGTCTCTATTTCCCTTCATGACATGATTGGATTGCCTTTGAGCTGTTTTTTTTTCTTTTCTTGGAGACTGCCCTTAATTTAATTCACTCAAATAATATTTATCAATTGTCCACTGTGTGCTAAGCACGGTATTGGTTCTAGATAACAAAGATTTGCCAGTGAGAAAGGGGAAGGGATCACAAAGTACAAATCGGTAATTACAAAATAGTCATGGGGATGTAAAGTACAGCTTCGGGAATACAGTCAGTAATAGTGTAATAACTATGTATGGTGTCAGGTGGGTGAAAGACTTACTGGGGGACAACACTTCATGAGTTATATGAACCATTATATAAGCCAGTCTAACCAATATGCTGTACACCTGAAATTAATGTAATATCGAACATCAACTATAATTTCAAAAATTTAAATGCTGTGCAAAAGAGACACCACCGCTGTCTTCAGGAGCAACAGGCCAGTGAGGGGAACAGCCATTTAAAACATGTCAGATAAATAACAAGCACCACATAAAAACCAGTGATGGCGAACCTATGACACCCGTGTCAGAGGTGACACGCGAACTCATTTTTTTGGTTGATTTTTCTTTGTTAAATGGCATTTAAATATATAAAATAAATATCAAAAATATAAGTCTTCGTTTTACTATGGTTGCAAATATCAAAAAATTCCTATATGTGACACGGCACCAGATTTAAGTTAGGGTTTTTCAAAATGCTGACACGCAGAGCTCAAAAGGTTCGCCATCACTGATAAACACACACACAACCACCTATGGGAAGTGCTGTGACAGAAAGGTCCTGATCCCAGGAGAGGGAATAGTGAGAAGGTGGGTTAAGATGGGAGGTCAAGGAAGGCTGCTGAGGACGTCACCTTTTATCTAAGAACTGAAGGATGATGTGTGCCGGGTGCAGGGTGTGGGGAGAGAATGTGTGGAAAGAATGCTCCATTTACAAAGAATAGCTTGAGAGAAGAGCTAAAGAGAGAAATAATTATTTTCCCAGATTGTTCATGACTCAGCTTATTTCAATACGAAGTTCTATGCTCAGAGGAAGGGAAACAAATGTGAACTAGTCAACCAGTCAATTACTGCAGTATATGTAGTATACTTTATTATTTTGTCCAATTGATTGCAGAGTATAATTCCCACCAATGGGTGGGACATTTTAACCAGTCTTGCCCATGCTTTTTTTCTTGCAATGTCATTGGTGTACCTTTAACATGCAGTCCACACACAGAGCAGTCCCTCTGTTTTTATCAACCTCCCGCAGCCTGTGAAACCCACAGTGTGCCTCTGTCCTTTGCCACAAACATGAGGTTCAAATTCCCTCTCATGGCCATTGGCCTGGAGGTTGCCATGATTGTTTTATTTGGATTATTTGTTCAGTATGAAACGGATCAGAATATTCGCCAGCCGCTTCGCAGCTCCAATTCAACAGATGTGGACAGATTCCCTGAGTTATACCCTCGTGAGTAGGCAATCTACTTCTTATACATTTTAGGTTCTTCAGGTTCTCAGAATGTGAAATTTTTGAATACTGTAGCCACTTGAGCTCCACATTGGAGCCCCTCATAGAATTATGTGATAGTTGTAAGTACTAAGGGTATTATAAGTCTATGCTGTGGCATCTGGTCTCTGTAATTACGGTGTTTGGATAGAATATGTGTCTATTAAAATATCAGAACAAGAAGCTACAAATTAAAATAATTGATAAACTTTTGTGTTGCCTACCCGTGGCTAAATGACCTTATTTTTCCTTTGAATTATTCATTAGTTCTGCATGGTATAAAAATATCACTTCCCACCCCCCAAAAAAATAAATAAATAAAAATAAATAAATACAAATAAATAAATAAAAATAAATAAAAATAAATAAATAAATAAATAAATAAATAAATAAATAAATAAAAAGGAACTTTGGAAGAGAGAGAGTAGAAACAAATTGGAGTATTTTGAAGAGCAGCCAGGATTTCATGTGGGGGCACTAAGATATAAGAAGTAGTCATTTAGGGTCATATAGGATATAAATAGAGCTTTAATTGAAATGAATGTGCTTATGGTTTTATAATATTCTGAAAGGAAGGAAGTTTGTTTCTTTGAGATGAAAATTGTGAACACCTAACATTTTAAAAGCAGAATCCTTCCCTGAAAATGGTGACAGAGGAAAGAATGAATTTAATCTCAAGTTTGGAAGAGCAAGCTATGAAATAGTTAATATGACAATTGCTACCATACATACACTGATGGCCTATGAAGAAGCAGGCCTGTTTGATACCTCAGTAACCATGAAAGGCAGTGGCAATATATTTCCCTTATCTAGATTGTTTATTTTTAAAATGAGGCTGAAACACTTTTAAACAGCTAAATTATTTAAAATGTTAGCAATGCCTATTTTAGTTTTATTAAAAACCGTGTAAGCTTTTAAGAAACAATTTGACATTTGTTTACTCATTTATATACATTTTGAAGGAGTTTTTAAAGTGGGGAGTATTCTCATGTAGAAATGATCTAGAGCTACATGACTCAGCTGAAATGCACAATTGCAAGTTAAGAGTTAGAGCCATAAGTGGAGAGTCAGACTCCAAGTCTAGTTCTATGTACATTATATAGATGTCTAAGAAGGTTCTTGATTAAATAATTTCATAATTTTCAAGCTAGAAAATAAACACAAATCAAAAGTCTGTTCAAATCTACATGCTTTTGTACATTTAACTTATTTATCTAATAAATGTTTTTATTTCATACCAAGCATGTAAGAAATATGATCTCTTTATTCTAAAACTCTGCTATCTGGTCCACATGTAAACAAAATATACCAGATAAAATGCCAAACTATGATCTAAGATGAGTGTTATTTAAATAAGAGTGTTATTGAGAGCCTCATAATTTGCATAATTCAAGCTGAATTCTCTAAGTTCCAGCGTCAAAATTTCTTACGTAAAACTTCAATTCAAAATTTGAGGGTAAAAAACAAGTTGGAGAGAATGACTAAATATGATCATTTTGTCAGTTGCTTAGCAATCATATCACCCTTATACTCTGCTTGCAAAACAATGAAAATTAATTCATTTCATGGCTTATTAAGGAAATATTTATTAAGCTCCCAATTCTTGTAAGACAATCTTCAGAGCTCTAGGCTCTAGGAAGTGAATAAAACAAAACAGACAAAGTAGGCAATGTTC